ATATTAGTTTTTATATAATAAAAACGGTGGCCTAGACCTGGGGTTCACAGGCTCTTAGGTTAATGCTTTTGGATGCAGAAACCTGACGCAGTCACTTCATAAAGTTTAGTTTGTCATCCATCACTTGATATCTTTTTAATCTCTTTATTAGTAAGAAGGCCGTCATCTTTGAACGATTATGCCAGCATAACTGTCATTTGATCTAAGTTTAAGGAATTATTTTGTGAAAATTGCAATATAGTATGAAATAAATGTGTTTAATGTTATTATACTATTTCCAAAAAATATTATTTTAACCCTAAATTTTGAAATAATGTTGCAACCTTGGTTGGAACTGTGTGGCCACTGAAAATATTAGTTTTGACAACAAAAAAAAAAGTTTTGACAACATTTAATTTCAGGTTCGAAAACTAGATGTAGCTGACGGTCCGATTTTTAAAGCTGTCAATGGCTGTAAGTGTGACGGCCCTGCGGAGAACCTAACGGGTTACCGGGGCTCCGACTCGACGTGCAGGATAAGGAACGGGGTGGTTTTTAGTCAGTAAGAGTCTGACACTCCCTCCCGCCTCACCCAGGCGGGAGCAGACATACGATGATTTTCAGCCCTTAAAAAAAAAATATTAAAAATCTATAGATACTTACACAGCTGATGGATGATAACAACAAATGTCAAATTAACATTGTCAAACACTACAGCCAACAAAAATTCCAGTAATAGGTAAAACTAAAATTAAACCAAAAAATGCCATAAATTAACAGAACAATGTTTTTAAGATCTCTGCTGGGTAGCCAATTACAACCAAAGTTATTTTATTCTATGAAAAACACTAAAAGTTTGAGACCGACTGTGAGAATCGGGAAAGATTCATTTCACCTAAGTATACACGTGAACAATTACAATTTGGATGAACTTCGGGTGAGAGCACACCCAGAATACGTGGTCATTGAAGGTAAACAAGAAAAGGATACCGAGCAAGGATATATTCTAAGACAATTTATAAGAAAATTCAAGTTGCCTGAGGGCTGTATTCCTTCACAAATTACATGCAAATTGAGCCCCGACGGGACGTTGAAAGTGGAGGTTCCAAGGACGTATAAGGATTCCGGGACACCTGCTGAAATGATCAACATTCCAATATGTTACGGTGCCTTTGTAACTGACAAAGAAGAAATAGAGGCAGCTCAGGCAGCTCAGGCAGCTGGCCAAAAAAAATTCTATACTAATTGTACAGGGTTTCCAAAAGTCAAAGGGAAAAAACCGAAACGACCGCCCGAAGAGTAAATAAAAGAAAATTTGCGAAGTAAATCTGAAGATATTCTATAGAAGACAAACGCCCGAATACTACCTTAAAGGCTACTCAATTTTAAATACCACCTCTGCCACAAAGAATTTCTAGTAGCAGAAATGGAGTGGCGTTAAAATACTTGACACATTTAGAAAAAAAGCTTACTCTCTTCTTTTATATTATTGATAAAGATGTGTTCGTGATGAACTCGATAATGAGTTTGTTGCCATATTTTTATAAGCAAAACATATTCGTACTCACATACACATACATCGTTATTTGTATATAAATAATGTAAAACTACTTATCCACAAATAATTTGGTTTTCCTTTATACTTATCATAAAATATTTGTTCATTACTTTCTTACCAACAAACTCCATCTACGTACCAGTTTTTCGCAAAATATAGGTCTAAACAATTTGATACTCTTGCTGAAACACCCTCCTGAGTTCCAGAGACGAATTAAACCTATAGAGCGCCCCGAGTCAGCACCTCATAGGCATCCGTGATTTTCGTTACCATTACTCTCGTATGTGCAGATGGATCTGCACTTCTAACGGCGCCCCTCACAAACCGGCGCTATAGGCAGTGGCCTTATTAGTTTGCATGATAGTACGGCTCTGCTGAGTTCCTTTTCTCGATAAAGTAAACAGCATTAGGTAAAACTATCAACAATTCCAAAGTTCCAACCGCTTTTGACGCAAATGTTCTAAAAATACTTGAATGAAACGCAAGAATTTTTCAACACTTGTTTCTCGTAGGCGAACCTTCTTAAAATAGATCATGAACCAATAAATTAACACACGGACAGTCACTTTACTGTGTAGGTCCCTATGTACCTAATAATAATACATAGTAGGTTTAATATTATTAACGTTATAGTGACGTGTGTATAGTATAATACTCACGTTCATTCATTTCTAGTATTTTCTGGCAAACTTTGAGAAGACAGAATATTTATTACACACCTTACGATTTCGTATATTCTTGTTTATCAACAAAAATAGATGATTTTCACACGACCCCGTATTATTGTTCAATGTTTCTTGTTTTCCTTTTTTTATAAAAACGTTGCCCCACACTAGAATAGGGTAGATGCCTAATCTTTATTTTAATGTCCGTCTGGTAGATTATTTTAAATCATTAGACACGTATTTTTTATTTTCTTACAGAAACGACCTTACTTTGGACGATATATTGATTTGACGCGTGACGTCACTTCTATGTATATTTTATACGTAGAAATGACGTTTTAGCCCCCACTCCTAAATTTTGATTCGTTTTATCTATGTATTGTTTTATTATAGGTACGACAAAATAAAAAAATACGTGTCTAATATTTTTTAATTACCTAACTTACGGACTAATTATATTTTTAATGTTCATACCCTGTCATCATCCCAATTTTCTCCTGTGTCATGGGTGCGTTTACAATTACAAACATACAAGTTCGCACTATACACATGACACCCAGACCCGGAACAACAATCTGTGGATTACTCAAAGAGTTGTTTATTCGGGAATCGAACCCGCGACACGTTGCGCGGCAGCCAGTTGCCACCGCGCCGACCGAAACCGTTTGTTTCAAACTTTTAGTACATTAATGAATATTATAGGACTCACTCGAGTCGAATAAATAAGCAACGAATCATAGATTAATTGGTTAAAAAAACCTACTCACGGACCCACCTACTGACACTGATTAGATAAGGAGCTAAGGATTTCAACAAATTTCTATAGTAAAAAGTAAGCAAAGTCGGTTGAAGTAATCTTACTTCAACACAACACCAACTTCTTGTATCAATTAATTTGATCCTGAAGAAGCAGGTATGTAGGACTTAATTTTTCCTTACCGATACCGGTTATGTATGTACGTCAGCTCAATCAATCATATGTGCATAGTTCAGAGGTTATTTAAATTACATATAGGTACGATAAATATGTTATTTTTAAGCTGAACGACACAAAACAAGTTTGCTAATATGGTGGTACTGCATTTTGCTGGAATATTTTACATAGGTACGTGCGAAACACACACTAATTACCTACTAATATCCTGATTTAGTATTTAAGTAGATAAAATCTATTTATATATAATTATTTCGTTATTTCGACTGCCTCGTTGGCCGAGTAGTCGCAAAGGCGACTGCCGGGCAAGGGGTCTGGGGTTCAATTCCCGGGTCGGGCAAAGTATTATTGGTTATTTTTTAATTCTTAGTAATAGCACGGAGTCTGGAATTGTGCCCGGTATAAGGCAATAGGCTCACCTCCTATTACATGGGACTCATAACATATCTAGCGAAAAGTGGGTGTTACATTGTACAATTACCCCTTCGGGAATAAAAGGCGTGATGTTATGTATGTTATTTCGTTATTTAACTCGTCGAGTACCGGTTTTGTAGACACAATTATAGAACAATAGGTTGCGGTCACCGGTGACCGCTTGGTGTTTGACAGTTTAAATATAAATAAAACAATAACTTGATTAATAAACTTAATCAGATTTCAGACATTGTAAAACAGGCCCTAAAAGTTAACACAAAGATTTGACATGATTACACAAGCAAAAAATCCCGAAAGAATCCGCGCGTCTAGCTAGTCTAATCTCCAGTCTCCATAGATCATTTGTTGTATGCATCGGGAACTTTCTCGTTCCAAATACTATCGAGACTCATGCCAGACATGATTCACCGCGCGTATATATAAAACGGTCGACTCCTCTATTCCTGTACACTAAAACGAAACGCGAATACAACAACACAACAAAAATGTCTCTAAGACCTTACTTCTTCGACTACGACCTTCCGAGATGGCCACGGCGACTTCTGGACCAGAACTTCGGCCTGACTGTGACCCCTGATGACTTAATATCGGCTTCAGTCAACCCTATCAGTCCAATCATCGCTGGAGTCCAACCTTGGTGGCCAAAAAGTTCAGGGTCCTCAATTAAAGTGGATAAGGACAAATGGCAGATCAACGTGGATGTTCAGCACTTTTCTCCAGATGAAATAGCTGTGAAGATCAGTGATGGATTCATTGTAGTGGAAGGCCAGCACGAGGAAAAGGCTGATGAACATGGATTTGTGTCCAGAAAGTTTGTGCGAAGGTTCAAGTTACCGGAGGAGAGCAACCCTGATACTGTGGAGTCCAGATTATCTTCTGATGGGATCCTGACTGTAGTGGCTCCGAAGAAGGCTGAGGCTGTCAAAGGTGAGAGACCAGTGCCCATAACCCATACTGGACCAGTTCGCAAGGATGTTCTAGAGGAATCCAAGAAGGAATGATGACCAGACTGCATTATGAGACTGTTTCCTTAATTGTGTTAAGTTTGTATGTGTTTAATGTTTTATAAATAAAGTGTTTTTTACTTTTTGTATGACGTTTGTTAATTTTGTTTAGCCGGTTGTGTAATAGTGATGATTTCTGTTTTCAAGTACAAGACTCCTTAAATTCTAGTCAAACAATTTATGGTCCGAATCGAAGATATTCCTTATTCAGAATTTATACGAGTGAGCGCTCGCCGTAGTCCACAAAACATTGTAAATAAACGAACTAATTTACCTTCTCTGTAAAATAAAGTCAACAGAAATAAAAGAAACATAAATATTACGCAAGTGGCTAATATTTTTAAACACGGTACTATTTTGGGATGTTTTCTCGTACGTTTGCTTGCTAAAATTGTATTCCATTGCTTATTGAATGAAACAACTTTGTTGATGATAAATTATTATCAGCCGAAGTAGTTCCACTGTTAAATGCTCTCTACACGGAAGGTGTGCCGTGCTTAGCACCCAGCTTGAGGATCCCAGAAGTCACGAAGATTTTAATAATAGCGCTGCTCGAGTCCCTGTTGTCTGTCGCAGTTTTATATACTCAGCTCCGAATAATTAGATAATTTAGATGAAGACATAAATAAATAAAACACACTGGTGGTATAAACTATTTATCTGCTATTCCAACATGGCCGACATGTAATAGCACTATAATATCTGTGGTAATTTATTATTATTACCACGTTTAGAAGGTTTTTGCATGAAATCAAAGGCTTGTTTGGTACTTAATTTCTTATTTATTCATAATTTATAAATAATATTATTGTCATACATATTTACAATTAGATATACCTACTTACATTATATTGAACACCTGTCTACAATTATTATTCACCTAATTATTATTTCGCTGCATTTTCTAATGTTGCTAAGTTTATATCCTTATTTTCAGCTGGTTTCTTTTTGTACAACGAATCTTCAATATCCTGTAAACTTCTACCATTAGTCTCCGGCAGAATAAAGCTTAAGAAAATACTACTAAATAACGTAACACTCGCAAAACTAGCATACATTACTTGTTCCCCAAACTTATACATAATCTCTGGAGTGACCTTCACAGAAATGAACAATAAAACAAATGATATAGCCGAGCTCATGCCAGAACCGAGGCCACGAACTTTCGCAGGGAATATTTCAGCTACAAATGACCATGAAATAGATGTCAATGCACTTGCCATACCTATGTATATAACCATACAAGTTACAGACACCCACACTAACCCAGAAGGATTCAAATACAAACATAAAATCAGTCCTACCAACACAACAGTTGTCGTTATAGAACAAACTACAAACGTGATTTTACGAGGAATCATCCTAGCAAACATACAAATACTGATAGCTGCTATGATTCTAATGGAATCAGTAACTATCGTCAACATAAATGCATCAATATCACCACCGAATGTCTTTTCAAAGATAGTTTCAGCGTAGAATGATATAGTGTTGATACCGCACCATTGTACCGCGATAAACAATAACACTATAGTCGCTATCGACTTCGCGAACGGCTTACTAAATACAATGTCAAGTATATCTCTGAATGTCGTAGTTTCTTCCGCTTTTTCTTTATTCTTCTCTATAGCACTTGTGAGTTCCTTCTCCGAACTTTCTCCTTCACCTCTAAATTCTTTGAAGGATTGTATGCCTTCATCGATTTTACCTTTCGAAAGCAACCATAGCGGGCTTTCTTTCAAGAATAGTAGGATTAAGAAACAAAGAATGTTGGGTACTGTGAAAAGCAAGCAACTGGTTTTCCAATAGGTATATTTGCCTATTAGATGGCTGATTAGGACTCCTATGTGGATGGCAGCTGAGGGCCAGAAGAGGGCCACGGCTCTGTGCTTCGGGTCAGATAATTCTCCGATGTAGACCATGCTGTTTGCTCTCACGGCTCCCGTGCACATTCCAGTGATGAACCTTCCTATCAGCATGACTGCGTTGTTGTTAGCCACGCCCATGATAAACCAGCCGAGTGTGAACGGTACGATAAGGATGAGCTGGCCCATCCTCCTACCGACGCCGTCACTCATCCAGCCAGAGAACAGAGACCCCATCATCATGGCCAGCGGAGAGATAGAGGCTGTAATAGATAAAGCTAATAAGTCATTTTGTTGAAGATAAAATAATTATTCATTCAGAAGTCCATTGTTACTGAAGACAAGAATGGGAGATAGGTGTGACCATATTTATGAACATATAGTAAACCTATATTATTTTAATTAAAATCAGCTAAAGATGTGCGTTAAAGTGCTTACCAATCCATGAGTCATAAACTTCATCGTAAGGGAAGTTTGTGTCAGTCTTTAGTTGTGGCAGCAGGACCGCCGTGAACCCAAATGTGATACCTCCAGCGAGGGACAACAGAGACGATGCAAATGTGGCCAGCACCTGCATTGAGGTTGTAAAGGAAATATTAGGACTAAGTGTGAAGGTGTTTTATTTTTATGACTTCTTTTTTTATTCTCTAAATCTTCACGGAGTCTTCCATAAGTTACTTATTATGATAATAGAAAAAATCTTAACTTAGTCTTCAGCCCCTTGTGGAGGCTTCCGACTCTTAAGTGGTCGAAATCGTGAATTTGTAGCAAGTTCCGGGTGGAACAAAATATTTCTATGTTTTCGAAGTTTCAAAAATGCGAATTATTTAATATACCAACTTTGCACTTCATTAGCAAATCAAATTGATTGAGAAATTAACATCGTCAGTGCAGTGAACCTAATAATTTGTTTCCGTTCTGATAGGAAGGATATTATTATACTTAATAAAATGTGTATTTATTATTATTTTACCTGTCTATAAATATGAGCTCGTCCCGTTAATTTTGGCGTCAAAATTTCTAGTATTTTCGTCATCCTGCCGTCTTTTGGTCGTTTGTATGAAATTCTTCAATTCTCACATGTTCTCATACCTTCTATTACTAGTATGGTAATTAATTGTGCGACTTCTAGAAACCTGTTGAATAATAGAAATCATTTGTTAAAAAATAGCGTCTTTATCACATTTAAATATAGATCTATGAATGTATGCTTCGGAACGTGGTCTGGATCTTTAGAACTTTGGAACTTCATGACGAGATTGACCGATGGATATAGATATATTATTATACTTAGATATTTTTACTATTAAGCATATTTATAATTCTTCTCTGTTTGACATTCAAAAGTAGTTTAGTTAGTTTTATAAGGACAAGCAGGGTTATTTAAATCAACAGACGTGCTTATCTACTTAATTGATTTTTTTTACTATTTCCCGTTGTCTATAATATTGTGATAAAGACGTGAAAAAAAATTTAATTTTTTTTTATATTATCGACTTACTCTAATTAAGTTAGTTTGACCAAATTACGAAATGTTATTTTTTTATTGATTCTTCATCTTTGGTGGTTAAATCAACAGTCAGTAACTTTTGGAACCTCTTTCAATGACGCAAAATAAATCTAACTGGCACTCAAGTAAGCCTGTATCAGTTTTTTATACTAATATTTTTAATAGGAAAAGTTCTTGCTATATTTATAAAATATGTATAAAACTATGAATTATGCACCTACCTAAGTATCTATGCGTATGTATATTTACTTACTTAATGTCAATTATACTTATAATTACCTAAATACATTAAAATTATGAAAACTATAAACTTAAGTTTTGTAGTAAAGATTTCACCATGATTACTTACACAAATTGTGCTAAAATTAGAAAATATAATATAATAAATACCAAATAGGTACCTAAGTAGCTTAAATCAAAGTATTTGTTAAATAAATAACATTAAATTTAATGTTTTATTAATTCATATAATAGGCTCGTGATTTTAGATGGACCGGTTTATTATTTACAAATAATTTAAATAGATCCTTGGTCGGTATTATTAGACAGGTACTTGCCAACTAGTAAGTCAAATTCAATACTTATTTCGTACTGTCAAGTCAAAAACGACGGTTTTCTACGCATTTTGTACGAGATAGTGTATTGTGACGTCACGATTTTTTAAACTCATACACCATACTTATTTCTTAAAAATTTGCTGGAAACATACTAAAATGAAGTTGGTCATAAAATCAGTTAATGATACCCAGTGTGATTAATTTTTAATATTCTATTGTACCTATTGAACAATCGAAATAATTTATTTTTGGTTAAGGAAAGTACCTAATTTTATAATTAGGTATTAATAATTGTGGTTAACTTAACCACGGAAATATATATATCAGACAGTATTCCAACTTTATACAATCGGACGAAACGCGAGCTATATACCTATAGCTACGCGCCTCGATGTCGGGGTGCGCTCGGGGCGCGGCCGCTGCTGTTTTTGGTTATATTTTATTTTGCAATTATATTTTTCGGTCTTGAATTTATTCAAGTCTACAAAAACATGTTCTTTATAATTAAATCTACCAATCAAAAAACAATACGCATCTTTACTTTATTGAACACTACCTATTCAATATATATACATAGTATTTTATTTGTTTATATTATAAAAAAAAGAATATTTACAATCACGAAACTGAATAGATACAGAAAGTAGACAAATGTATTTGAAATGCTGGAGACGGGCAGCCCTAACGAATGTTTACGTACCGCGCGGCTGTAGGTATTTAATTCTGTCAAGCGGCCGTATAGGTACTGTATACCTGCGTGGGCTGAGCACCGCCGTGCCCTCAGGGAAGTGATCGGCGATGGCGACCTCTCGCGTCCGGGCCTAGTGCAGGCCATGATGCGGAGCGTGGGGGACTGGGATGCCGTCTCCTCCTTTTGCGAAGCAGTCATGCTAGCTAAGGAGGAGGCGGGACGCGTGAGGCAGCGCGGAGAACCTAACGGGTAACCGGGGCTCCAGCTCGACGTGCAGGAGAAGGAACGGGGTGGTTTTTAGTCAGTAAGAGTCTGACACTCCCTCCCGCCTCACCCAGGCGGGAGCAGTAATTTGATGATTTTACCCCCTTAAAAAAAGTAGGTACTGTATTATACTACCACAGATATATTAAAGAATATTTCTGTGGATACTACCGTATATAGTATAATATATTACCGTGACTTAGGTTGTTTGCTATTTGTATGCGATAATATCAAAAATTTTAATCGCAAATTGGTGTCGTACTTTTCCCGTGTACGCAATTAAGTCATGTTCTTTGTTAAAGTTAAAGTGAACGGAGTTCGTGGGAATACAGGCTTGTTAATAAACTAATTATAATTAAACCAAAGGATCCAAACAATTATACACGTTGTTGTTGTCATGTTAATTATTTTTATATTGTATATATAAAGAATAGTAGGTAAACATAGGTACGTAATTAACGGAAAAAATATATTAATTTCAAACGTGAACAATTAAAATGATAGATAGACACGATGGTACTACAATTTTTTCAAAGACTTAGTTAATAACTATTATTTTTCAGTTTAATACCCACCAAACACGGATAAAACCCAGAGATCGCCTAGTCAAGCACCTCATAGGCACCGCTAATTTTCTCTGGCACCGAACTGGTGTCCCGTTTTATCCTGGCGCCCTACGCCCTAGCTCCTTGCGCATTGCGCACTACCTACACAGTTTTTTGCATAATGATTCGTTAAAACTTTAATTATTATGTTTCGAAACAAGTACATTTTACTGAAGTTACTGAATATTTATTAACATACCATAACATTACGCCTTTTTATCCCCGAAGGAGTAGGCAGAGGTGCACATTATGACACTTAATGCCGCTGTACAATGTAACACCGACTTTTCACTATTTATGTTATGAGTCCCATGTAATAGGGGATGCGCCTATTGCCATATACCGGGCACATTTCTAGACTCCATGCTACTACTGAGAATTTTAAAAACCCAGTAATACTTTGCACGACCTGGTAATCGAACCCGAGACCCCTTGCCCGGCAGTCGCACTTGCAACCACTCGGCCAACGAGGCAGTCAGTGAATATTTATTAATAATATACATACAAAACTGTAGGTTTCAAGTTTGTATGTCCATCACATGTTTAATAAATCATTGTTTCGTAAGATACCATCTTGGTTTGCCAAAAATCAGTTATTCTGAACATTTTCTTGAATGATGTAAGCGCTGATTTGCAATAAAATTTAAAAGATTTTTGGTCGCGATAACTGCTTTGTTTCCTACAAAATATAGGTATTATACATATACCGCAATCGAACAATAGAGTTATAAAAAATATTTTTCTGTTGTTCAATTTTGAGTTTCAAACTATATACTTATTTGAAGTATCTCCTAGATTTTTCAACTGTGTGATAAAAAATATAATTATGGGACTATTTGAAAATCATTTTCTAAATCTATTCAATTCTATGTATCTTCAAGTAATTAAGTTAAGTACAAATTAGATAAAACAATCCCCTACTTATCTCTGTACCAACTGAAATAAGTCCTTCCTTTTACGCAAATAAATGTCTTTATCTTTATCTTTCCCATTTTAAAATTGGTTAAAACTTACTTCTTGCAAATAAAATAACTTTATTGTTGGTCGATCGAGTGACACGAGTTTAATCATAATTTATTATATTTTTTTCTTTTAATATTAACTTGTCCCTTTTTTACTTAGTTTACGATATTTCCGTGTATTCAATAACCTTGTCCTTCGTCCTGACAGGCCGACAAGAGGTAACGAATACGACAAAAATAGAGGCAAGTCCAATAGAAGTTTTACACGGAATAGCTACAAATAAAATATATGTCCGCGACCGGGCGATTCATTAATTCCTTCAAGATGTTTAACGGCTCATTGATATCTAAGCCTATTGTTATTTTTATCCGTTTTTATAAGCTGTAAGTCCTTTAAGAACTATAAATCTATATCTAGTATCTAAATGTCATATTTTTAGTAATACCCACATTCTTTATTTTAGTAATAAAAATTTCAATGTACCGTCGCCCGCTTACTCATACTCTGTACGAGCTAGTTTACTCAGAAAACATGATTACTTAAAATTAAAATTTTACGTTATCATGTTTTCAATAAAATTCTTAAATCAGATATCTATATCTATCTATAAGTACATCTAATAAAATCGTAGAAGAGTCAAAACGGTACATTGAATATTTTTTAAAAAGAAACCTTGCAGCATGATCTCCAATCGATACCGAATCCAAAAATATGATTTTTAATATTTTTGGATATTGCCTGTATGCATGTCCGGGATGATCTCAAAAACTACCTACTGCATAGATTTACTTAAATAAGTACGTATGACCAATAGTAGTTATTTTTTCCGTTTTAGTTTTTACTTTTAGTTACTCTTTGTTTTTGAAGTTGTCTTTTAATTTTATTTTAACTATGATCTCCAACACACCTGTCAAGAGTGGTACTGCCATTATATGCATACCCCAGGGTAAGGACCTCTTCTAATACAGAGAAGAATACGTTACGATACAAAATTAAAAAATATTTCTACGCCCTTGTAAGAGAAAGTTACATTAGGCTTCAAAAACCGTTACGGAACCAGATTTTCAGAGTGGATTTTTCCATTCTGTTTTAAAACTTAGTAGGCACACATAATGGCTATTTAAAGTTTAGGTAGCATTTGCGAAACACCTAAATAATTTTTGCTCTCTGGTTTCCTTGTTTATTAGTTGGACCTAAAAGTGAGCCTTGGGAATTCTAATTCACTGCTTGAAATCTAAAACACATGGACGTTCTGCAACGTCAGACCATTGAGCATTAAGCTTAAGAATCAGTTTAGGTTTATTAGTTTTCAAATACCTAAATAGTACTAGCTAAAAGAAAATCCTAGGATTTTAGGTATATCATGGATGACCCCAACAAGAAGAACAGAAAATACTGCGAGATAATATTAATATTGAAACAAGTACTTAAATAAAGTTAACTTGCCTAATTCTGTTATATCAGAATTAATGTATTAGCTATCACCGACTTAAAGAGGTCACCACGGAATTAAGCAAGTTGACTTGGTTTATTAAATTTGGTATAACTCTTAGGTTTCTAGAAAAAAATCTGATTATTTGTGCTAATATTCCTCATAAAACACTTATTAAAACTTCATGCTGAGACAGAATTAAAATAATTAATAATTTATTGATATTTTATTACTCAAATGCCTTTGTCACGAAGTTAGATGAGTTTACCCTACAGGACCCCTTTCGTGTTGTAGACATGCATAGACTTCCCAACAACGTTTTCATTAGGCAGGCCGTAAGCTTGTTACAGCTTAGTGATTTTTTTTTGAGGAAGAAAAGTCATCCAGCCCCCGTCGTCGGTTGCAGAACATGCAGCGGTGCTCAGCTCACGAAGAGCTTACCAGCACCGTATGAACTACACAAGAGCTTACAAATGCTTTTGGATATGGGCGATGTATTTAGCCTTCGGTAACCTATCTCACACAGCGAAACACAGCGCCAGCATATAGCCAATTTTCGCCAATAATAAGAAAGAAAAACCGTTTATTACGCCACGACACACTGCAGACAACAACCTAACCAACCAATAGTATCAATCCTGTCGATGGCCCCCAGGCCCCACGTGAACATTTGAAACCTCAACATACCACTTCGAAGATTAAAACGCGTGGTGCGATGCTGTATCTTCAACTCCCGTGTAAATAGACAGATATTTGTAATTCTTATATTTCATGTCGCATTTGTCATGTCGTCTTTAAGTGTCCTGATACCTATCCGAATATTTAAACACAGTAATGAATGACATGGGGACATATATTCATAAAAAAAACTTGCATAGATTATTCAAATTGAACCTATAAGTCAATAAGTACCTACCTACTTCTAAAATATTGCGAAATGACAAAACCAACTTACTTTGATAAGATCCTTTGGACATAAAAACCGATAATATTTCTCAAAAATATCAAATTCACACTTTCACTGTCACCTTTCACTGCTGAGAAAGTACTTTCATTACTTTTTTATTAAAAATATTTTTCCTTATTTTTCATATACTTAAGTCAAAAATAATATAATTTTTAAAATGGTTGTCGTGAATTGTGGAATGGACAACTCTGTATGATAATCAATTCAATACTAAGTTGAATTGAAAGCTGTTCCACGCCGACGGTGGAAGTTTGTCCGATGTTACAGTCACTAAATGTTGAAACAGACATTGTTAAAATTACCTAATGACGTAAATCGTTGATTCAGTTTTACCACGTTTTTGTGCGAATAATTCGTTTTAAAGGATGTGTGCTAACTGTATCATGAAGTTACACTTTAAATTAACAGTAATATACATTTTTGTTGTATTTTCTTCCCACGTGTTTGTTTATGTAATGAAAAAATTATGAGAAAAAATTCTAACCTAACGGGATTTTTTTTTTTTAAGGGGGGAAAATCATCGAATGACTGCTCCCGCCTGGGTGAGGCGGGAGGGAGTGTCAGACTCTTACTGACTAAAAACCACCCCGTTCCTTCTCCTGCACGTCGAGCCGGAGCCCCGGTTACCCGTTAGGTTCTCCGCGACAACCTAACGGGATGGAGCTTGTGCATGACTGACTGATCATAGGACAATGATGTTGTTTTGAAATAGAACCGTAAGGTAAAGCAATCCTAACGGGTAACCGGGGCTCCGGCTCGACGTGCAGGAGAAGGAACGGGGTGGTTTTTAGTCAGTAAGAGTCTGATGTCTGAGATGGAACGACATTTATGTGTAACTTAAAATGTAGTCAGTAGTCTCAAAAATAAAAACATGGCCACTTTTTTCTTGCATGGCAATCGAAAGACGTACCTAAATGAACGTGTTCCATTATTCACGTAACATAATATTATAAAGAGTCGTTATCAACAATAACTACTGCGACATTTTAAAAATGAATATTAAAAATAAAAAGACTGATTTTCGTTTTATACCGGTTGCACTGGCTATTTACTAACTTTTTGCCCACGTGATCAAAGACAAAAAGGACCTCAATCCCTCCTCAGTTTCTTTGTAAACATCTACGTGGGAGAACAAGTGCGAAAAATACAGCCCACCCTTGCTCCTGTCCTGGCTCCTACTTCTACCGCAAAGGCTGGCATCACACATGTAAAGAACTACTCCGATGTTGCAGGTGTCCATGGGCGGTGTTTATCATCATCCTCACCGACAGATACCCATTAAATAATAATAATAAATTTATTTGTTATCTCTCTACACAAAGGATATTTCACAGCAATAAGATACAATAATCAGATGCAAACAATGTACTCCTTTGTGAGAGACTGGAGTCCATACTAGGATTCCCTGTGTGACGGAAATGATCCTACTGCTCATTTACCTCCCAATTTTCGTATTGGCACGATTTTTTCGTATTCGATTTTTGAGAATTAGGACATTTTTAGGAAAAGACACGAAAAAGACACGAAGTCTGGACTGGAATTATTCTAGTTTATTGCAATAATTTTCTCGAACTTGTAATGTACGTATATCTAATTGGCAACAAGCAAAAGGTGAAAACTAAAAAGCAAAAAAGAACTATTATTAGTCATATGTACATACTTATAGGTTACCCACCCACTGATAGGTAAGAAGTCGGTGCCACAAGTTTTAAACAAAAATTAAACACGTAACAAATATCTTATATTACCTACCTAAGCTGTGTACAATTTTATGACAGATTATAACCATGACCATTAAACCTAATGTATGAGAACCTAACGGGTAACCGGAGCTCCGGCTCGACGTGCAGGAGAAGGAACTGGGTGGTTTTTAGTCAGTAAGAGTCTGACACTCCCTCCCGCCTCACCCAGGCGGGAGCAGTCATTCGATGATTTCCCCCCTAAAAAAAAAAGGTTATATTTTTAATCACATCATGATGCTGAACTATGAGCCTCCTCTACATACTTAGGTTAAAGGGGATCGTTTGTCATCATTATCTTTATGCTTGGCCCAGATTTTTTATGGAATGGTTCTGCCCCGTCTTGTGAATATTATTACTTATTTAAGGTAAAATAAACCAAATAATATATTTTAAACGAATATCTTTTACCTACCAAACGAATTTCCTTAGAACAGAATAGATAATTTTACTAAAATATCGAAATGAATCGTTAAATCGAACCGGTTCTTATAAAAACAGGTCGCGTTTAAATTAGGTGAATCTGAATATTACTTAAACGATAAATACATTATTATCATTATTAAACACATGCTCATCTTTTATAATAACTATCGTGAGACATACTAAACTAACTAAAAATCGCGGGTTACTCACGTGAATATACTGAGAAAAGCTCTACTAGTTTCGAGCCACATATTTGAACCTACTAACCATAGATATAATTTAATATTTCTGTGCTACTGACAGTATGTTGCGCGACCACAGAAATATTATATCGCCACGGAGTTACGGAGTTACCGGGGCTCCGGCTCGAAGTGCAGGAGTAGGAACGGGGTGGTTTTTAGTCAATAAGTTTGCCCCTCCCTCCCCCTCACCCCCGCGGGAGAAGTCATTAAATGATTGTCTAATCATAAAAAAATCTATGTGCACGACATCGCCACGACTACGCACTCTACTCATGAGGTGAACCCCTCTGTGACTCGAAATTAGTAGAACAGTTTTTTACAGTTTTTATTTAACCCGCAATTTTTAGTTAATTTAAATACATGCTCTATTGGAATGGCACGGGCAGTAGATCGCTCGATTCCCAACAATATGGTTGAGTTGGGCGGTGCAACGTGCGGAAACGCCCGGGTGTCATCACTACGAGGACCGCCCTGAGGACACGGTGGAACACACAGTGGGAGAATGCCCTGCGTGGGCTGAGCACCGCCGTGCCCTCAGGGAAGTGATCGGCGATGGCGACCTCTCGCGTCCGGTCCTAGTGCAGGCCATGATGCGGAGCGAGGGGGACTGGGATGCCGTCTCCTCCTTTTGCGAAGCAGTCATGCTAGCTAAGGAGGAGGCGGGACGCGTGAGGCAGCGAAGCGCTGCCTCCTCGCAACCCAGCCATCGCGAAGGACACATCGGGCGTCGGGGATCGCGGGACGATTTCCGGCCACCGTAAGCGCGGGACTGCGTACGGCGAGCATGGGTGGCTCCCCGTCGGACCAGAAACAGACCCGAGCGTACGGCCCGTCGCGTTCCGCGCGATTCCTGTTGCCGATTCCGAGTCGCGGAGAACCTAACGGGTAACCGGGGCTCCGGCTCGACATGCAGGAGAAGGAACGGGGTGGTTTTTAGTCAGTAAGAATCTGACACTTCCTTCCGCCTCACTCAGGCGGGAGCAGTCATTCGATGATTTTCCCCCCCCCCTTAAAAAAAATAAATTATTAATATAGGTACCAATTTGTAGGTAGGTAAGTAGGTAGGTACCTACTTCAGGTACAGAATTAGAGTAAAAAATATTTATATTGTATTTCTTTTATAACCTACGTTTAAAAAGAATCGACTTCAACCCTCCATTTTTGAAGTCGGTTAATTAATATACTAAAATCTTTTCCTAGTGTAACAACACTTTTCCGAAAACCACATCAAAATCGGTTCAGACAAACACATTCATAAATACGTAGGTACATGTCAAACTGAGAACTCCCCTTTTTTTGAGGTCGGTTAAAAAGTGAAATAAAGTTACGTTCCATTTTGTGGCTAGCTGTACCACGGAATACTACATACATACTAGCTGTGCTGTCGTCTATATGACGCCATATAAATACGACAAGATGATGAATTTAAAAATAATCTCATCGAATTACGTTGTATTTGCAAAACAACAATACGGTAAATACTTACGTACACATAATTCTCACATAAATAACAATAAAAAGACGAAACCACAAAAATATATTTTGTTTTTTTTTTACGGAATAAACATATTCAAGACACTCTGACATTAAACTTTTTGTATTTTTACGTGTTACCGTACCTTCCCATAAGTAATATTTTATTTAAATTATTATGTTTTCGGCTTACTCACGTAATAATTTGACGAGGAAATTCGACTAGATTCAAGCCATGCTAGAGGCTCATATTCATGAGCAGCATTTCTCGACCCGCGACGCAGCGACTGTCGTCCTGCTACTAGTGCTACTACTGTCAGACAGCCGAAAACATAATAATTTATTTAGTCTCACCTCATGAAAGTTACAATACAAATATTTTATTAACTTTACTTTACATTGATTATAAGGTACCTTGGTATATTGATTTAAATTTAGATAAAGATATTCTGAGGCGAGTAAAAAAGTAATAATTAGTAGGGGTGTCACCGAATCAAAAAATGTAATTAAAATTTTTTTTGTCCGTTTGTCTGTCTGTATGTTTACGTATCACACAAAAACTACCGGTCCGATTACGATGACACTCGGTATTTTCCTACTTACTTGGTACTGGGCACATTGGGTACTTTTTGTCCCCAAAAAGTATGTACACAAATAGAAATATAAAACCGACTTCAAAATTGTATGCAATCGGCATGATGACAGCGTATGAAAATTAAAAATATAATTAGTCCGTAAGTAAGGTAATAAAAAAATATTAGACTTATATATTTTTATTTTGTCGTACAATAAAACAATACTAAAATAAAACGAATCAAAATTTGGGAGTGGGAGCTAAAACGTCATAGAAGTGACGTCACGCGACATTTCAAATCAGTATATCGTCGAACGAAAGTATTCGTTTCTGTAAGAAAATAAAAAATTGGTGTCTAATTATCTAAAATAATCTACCAGACGGACATTAAAATAAAAATTAGGCATCTACCCTAACGTATGTTTAGAAATAATATAAAAATAGTTAGGTTAGGTTAGACTAACATATTATATGAAAATTGGGCTGTTCTGGGCATATTACATACATACGGGTCGAATTGATAACCTTCTCTTTATTTTAAGTCGATTAAAAAATCCCTATCTCAAAAAGCAGGTAACTGATTTCGATGAAACTTGCAGTATCCCTAAGTTGAACAATACACAGTAAAACAAAAAAAGAACTATTTAGATCGGACTTGCAGTTCAAAAGTTATGCGAACACAAACATAAAAACATATATACACACACTTTCGAAAGGCAGATGTGTTCAGA